GGGGGGGGGGGTCGTACCTACACTACATTTCACACATCACGATGCTGTACCCTGTATACAGAGCACTGGGATATGAGGAAGTTGCGCTCCCTAGCTCCCACACAACAATGGGGCGTACTACTTTCATACAAAATTAATTTCTGTGATGGTGAATATGCCTCGAGTCGTTTAGTTGACCGCCTTGTCTCAATATAAGTTGCCGCGAAACATCTAAGTTGACGAAAAATGCTACGTCGAGTCAACTAGCTAGCAACGCTGGCTTGACCTCTACGCCGTGCTTCCGAAGTTCTGAGCTACCCCCAGCTCGCGATTGCTTAGAATGAGAGCCCTGACCGAGTAATCATATCGGCGCGAACCCAGTTTTTAGGAGGAACACTCGGCCAAGTCTCTCTATCCCTCCCAAAAGGGCTTAGGCTTAGAGCGCAGACGACCAGATTTAGAGACGGATGGTTCCGCAGAGGAGGCATAGTCTCCGCTAACAATAAGCCCAAAGGCAGTTGGCACGATAATTTGGTACTCGGCCTGAAATGCTAGCAGGGCGCTATATAGTGGGAAAATGGCGAAAAAACGAAGTGAAACGGTCAAAAACTGCGAAGAAAAGCCTTCGTTCTTAATGACTCGAAAAGCAATTTCGGACGAGTTTCCCGTAGGCGTCGTCCATTTGTGGGCAGGCGGGCGTGGTGGCGTTCGGGTCGGTATGTTGTAGCTTGATAGGGCCTTATAAGGGTACCTTTCTTGGAAAAGGCGCTACGCAGCGCCTGCTCAGGGTCGCGGAATTCCGTCCTGCCAGGCGTATTAATCCTACTCGTCTTAGGGATCTATCGTGCCAATTGCCTTTAATCTTGGTGAGCGGAAGAGGTGTAGAGGCGCTGGCGAGTGGTCCACCCCTCGCAACTATGTCAGCGCCGTTACATCTTTGCTTTACTTTCTCTCCACTATTCCTACATTGCTTTCCTAATGATATAGGCTTTTAACTGCCATGCGTGACTTACATTCTCCACGTTGGTACCAATGTCGACGATTTCGTTCAAATTCGGATCGAATTGTATGCTGTTTATGGTTCCTGTTGATGTCTGACCTTCCAGAGAATGCCTCTAGAAACGAAACATTCATGAAAGTTGAACTATCAGGATGCAGAACTTCAACTGTTCTTCAGCTTTGTCTGGCCATTTTGCTGTCCTTCTATTAGCTTGGTGAAAAAGGTCTGTGAGTCCAAGGTCACAAGCGCCCGCCCTATCCGTCTCTCACTTAGTTTCATTAGCAAAAATGAACAGGGTGCTACGTTTAGAGAATCTCTTTGAGTTGCGAGAGTTTCCACGAGCAAGGTAAGTGCAGTCTTGGGTTTCGCTACAACGCTCGAGCGCGGTCGAGAAAGGGGGGGGGGGGCGGGAAAGTTGGATTTTGGCGGCGACGACGTCAGGCCGTCTGACAACCATTGTGGAAGCTGGACAACAACCCGTACTGGGGAAAAGTGGTAAGCGCGCCGCACCCCGCTGGTACGCCCCAGGTCCGCAGGCGAAGAAGACTGTCTAAAAGGTAACGAATATTGTTGGGTCTAGCAGGGCACGCTTCCGGCGCTGAGTTTTGCGCTGATGCGAAACCTCCCCCTCAAGCCCCAATTGCACAATCTGTCCACTACAATATTCTTACGGAATTTCCGCGAATTTGTCGTGTGGGGGGGGGCTTGCCATCTCGCGCAACTGTCCAAAATTAGCAATTTCCGTCCGCCCGCAACTACGGAAGGGGGAGAGTGTGCCGAGGCTGCAGAGCCAAGTAATATTCTTAGAGTTATTCGCATGGAAACGCAACTGTTAAGATATCGGTCTGACTTATCGAGCCGAACTACGCCGTATCATGTGCTAACCCCGAGCATTGCCTTCAAAATATCGCGCTACGGGCCCATATTAACACTACCTACTCTATCTGTAGTAGAAGACTATTTAGAGAAAAACATCGAGGTGTGAAGTTGAGAGAAGGAGTTCTGAAATTATTTCCTAGTAGTGAACTAGAACTGACCACAGGTCCTCTCAGTCCTCTGTCCATCTTTAGTGCACCAACGTGAGCGAACTTAGTCGCGTAAATATCCGCAGATTCCATTTTTCGTGGTTGCTTCTCCTTAAGAGCCAGTGACCCAGTCTTAACTGCGGTGAAGTAAAAATTCGCCATAGTCAAGACCATATTATCACAACAATCGCGATCTGCTAGTTGTTTCTGTAATAAAATCAAAAATCATTGAATCTGATCTGAGGACCTGATAGTAAAATTTAGCGTCAGACGATCGCCTTGGCCCAGGTGTTTGGCAGGGGTTTTTGGGTCGACACAACGTTTCTCACTGGTTGAGGTCGCAACGGTTATTTTCTCATACACATTGGCTGGGCCGGTACTCGGAAGGAAAGAGGAATAATGGAAATAAGGAAGGAAAAGAAAAGACGAAATGAAAGGTATAGGAGAAAGAAGGCAACGGGAAGAAAAGAAGAGGGGCCGCGGTTTCGCGGTTGACAAATATCCTGAGGCAGGCAGAGGTGGTCCGGCCTGCAGGCATGAGGGATGTACCACTCTCGCGGCTCAGAAATAGGTGGGTAAGGACGTTGTGCACTAGTGATGACCTCATTGCTCCGCCCGTTGCCCCACACTAGGCCCTACGTTTTCTTTCAGAGGTTCGCCGGGGTGATGCGGTTGTCCCTCCACTAGCTCTTCCATATGCTTAGTGAGGTGATAAGGTAAAGGAGCTGACATCCACAAAGGAGGGAACATTTGCTGGAAATGTGGCCAAGAGGAAAATTGGACCCTCAGAATGAATGAACGCGAGGAATGCGAAATCTCATTTATGCGACGAGAATGCTTTAAGTTGCGAAGCGCGGCGCGAAAGCGGGTTCTTTTGCCGGAACCCTAAGCCTTCCAGGCGTTACGGTTTCATAATGGGTATGGTACCAGTAACCAACTGGTCGAGATTGCCCCAAGTACACTTCTGACTAACCCTGTTCCCTGGGGAAATATTTTGGTCAAAATACGGCTCGATTTCCGTAGAGTGGGGCGGTAAGAAAGCAAATATGGCCGCAAACGGTCCTTCATCCCATGAACTGAGGTACGGGCAGTTCTGTTCTTTTCTGCGCGGTTCCTGCCATATCTTATATGCGGGCGTGTCTGTCGCTCCGCTTACTTTCCTGTTTCTTTCCTCTTTGTTATCTGGTCCATCCGCCTGCTTCTGCTGTGTCCTGCGCTTCTTTCAAAGTGCACATCCAAGGTTTCCTAGGACCTAATTTAGGGCCGTTTTCCACGGGTTTTCCCCACTATTTTCGCCGCTACGTCAATCAGCAGCTGAGAATTCATATCTGCACCCCCTTGACGTTACGGGTTGTAATTTCAAGTGCACTTGCACGACAAAACGACTCACTTCTTTTTTCTTGCGTTGACGATAAATAATAATTGCCATTGTAATGACAACGGCGATCAATACAAACAATACAGCAAGTATAATGAACATAATAAGCCTAAAAACCCTTTATTGCAACTTTAGAAAGGTTAGAGAGGGGATTTCTCGCCCTCGACATCTATAACGAACCCCAAGTTTTTCTGGTGGTCACGGCGAACGTCTCCCATAGGTCTCCTGGTTCGTCTACTGTAGTCGCTTTATTCCGCCCTAATTCTTCCTTATTGCTACTGAAAGCCATTCATGAGTCAGGAACTTCCGTCTATTTAAGTGCTTTAAGAAATTCCCACGAAATCAAATGGTGGAGAAATGGCTGTGGTGGTAAGTCACTAATTCTTCCGATCTTGGGCGGTGAGTGATAGTCATTATGCCTTTCTGTAGGCATGCCACTAGCATTGAAAGAAGCACAACAATTGCAGCAATAACAGTAGTGGGTCTCCGCCCATGTTATTATCGCGGAATCTTTTCATGAAAGTGTTTTGGTCTGTTTATTCTGCCTAATTCTTCCGCATTGCTACTGGAAGCCATTCATGAGTTCACACCTTCTGTCTGTATCAGTGCTCTAAAGAATCACTCCGCAGTAAACAGATAGGTAGAAAAATGGGCGGAGACTCATGATGATTGTACCTGTATATTCGGCATTATATCGAAAAAGGAGCAATACAACTAAGAAGGTATAGGTTGTGAGTCTCCGCCCATGCTATTATCGCGGAATGTGTCCCTAGAAGTTTATTTGTAGTTCGATGAAGGAAAGCTGGCTCGAAGCGGGGCATTATTTGTAACTTTCAGCCAACTCGGGTTCCGTCTTCACGCCCATTTACGTCGCAGTCCCGCTTTCCCATCTGTTCCATAACTTTTGATCATCTTTCTTATCACTCCTTTCTCTTCCACTCACTATCGCCTTGGGCAGCGTGCAGACTTCGCGCTGACGCGCGTCGACGCGCTGCAATTGCAATAGCCTTCTGATGCTATAGATCGCGGACGCGAATCGATCGGCGGCAGCCGTCTGTGTTCTGAAGGAGCATGGAGGAACAGGAGATTGTGTGAAGGCGGCACATACCCTCCTCTTATCCTGTATTCTCTGAAACGCGGCCAGTACCGATCGATTTTCGTGTGACAGCGCTCGCAGTATATCATTGGCGCCCTCGCGTCGACCCACTTCATCGCGAAGTCTAAAAGCTATCTTATCAACCTGGATTGTTCGCTTTTTCTTGTTTACTTCCAGTCAGTTTTTGTCGAGCGCTTCTCTCTCCCCTCAGCACTTCCACTGCTTTTTGCTTTCGCCTCCTACTACCGTCATCGCTCACTATTGCTCTTTATCACTACGATCTGTCACCTCCATATCACGGGGTGGCTGGGGGTCGCAGCGGTCTCTCAGGTGTGGAACTGTCAGAGGTGGGGCCTTTTCGTCACTCTTTACCTTGTCAAACTCGACCCCTTAAGTAGAGCAGCGAAAAGTAGCTCCAGGAAGAAATAATCTGCAGATCCAGTGCACAATGTCCCTAGTCCTAAGTCCGCTTGCACCCACCGTTGACATGAAGGGCCAGCCCAGTCCAACTATCGTTGGCGTGGTTTTATCAAGGAGCGGTAAAAGCCCCACTAAGCAATCAAAAACCCATCCAGAGAACTAAAATACTTATTTTTGGTAAAAATTCTAAGAACTGTACCCTTTTCCATTGTTCTTTGTTGTATCTGCCTTTTCTTCTACAGTCGTCTGCTCGCCATCGTCGGGAAAGGTCAGTTCAGTTGAAGAAGCTTCAACGGGGAAAAGGGTGCTAGTCGGTTGAAACTGCGGTGCCAGCGTAACGATTTCGTGATCAGGTTCATGGGTCTTTTTTTTCTTAGTGGTTCTGGTAGTTCTGTTGTTGTCGTGTTGTTTGTCGTTGTTGTTCTCGTTGTTGTTGTTTGTTGTTGTTGTTGTTGTTGTTGTTGGAGCTGTTGTTGTTGTCGTGTCTGGTTTCGGTGGTGGTGAAGTAACAGGTTCAATAGGTGGTACCGGCGGAGGCTTTGAATGAAACGGCGGCTTGCGCGTGGACCAGGGACGACGTGTGCGTGGAGGATGACGTGTAGAACGGTGTCCTGGTGGACGAGGACGATCACTCTGATCCCAGCGAGGATCGTCCCAAGGATCTCGTGGATAGTCATCGTTAGGATCATATGGAGGTCGTCCACGACGTCCAGAACCACGCCTTTGGCGATTACTTTGAGGACCTTCTGGTTGATGACGACCAGATCCAGCTCGCTCGTAATTACTATCTTGTCGATTTCGTAGGTGATGTCCATGATGTCCAAAGGAAGGCCGATGTGGCACATGGTCATGATCATGGTGATCACTGCTGTTGTAGTAGTTAGCGCGGTGAGTGTTGAGGATCGTTCGAATATCGTCTCTGAGTGGGTTATGATCGGGTTGGTGACCGGACAGGCGAGTTGGAGGGCGAGTCTGAGAAAAATAAGCAGAATAAATGAGGCCAGATCCCGTGGATGACGCTCTGTGTAGCACTTGTACTGAAGACTGTCCTTGATGTTCTGAAAAGTATCAATTTCCATTATTGCATAGTTTTTCTGTCGCATATCAGCGAAATTCCACAGTCCATATCCCAGAGATGAGCAGGGCGTGACTACGTACTTCATTTGAACATAATTGCATCTGCGCTTCTAGTGAGATATTGCCGTTTTGAGATAACTGTGACCAAGTCTTTACACAGCGCAAAGTAGAATGAGAGCTGTCTCGAACGGGAATGTCCCGCTAAGCGAATTTTGCGCGAAGTGAAGTTCGTGGCGGCGCCCAGGTATAAGGCGATCCTATCGCAGACCGCCGCGGTAGTAGGTGTGGCCGCAGCTTTTCAG